AGATAAAAATTGGGGGTCACCTTTCAACCTAAGGAGCTATAACTGATTAAAAATAGGTCTGATTTTATCATAATTTCACTGTATAGCGGCACAAATACGCACAAAGATACCTATGTTTGATGCGCACGTAAAATATTGCTATTGGCCAAAAGATGACCGAAAAGAATGCAAATTTGTGAAAAAAATGTCAGGAATCCAAAATATGTAAAAAAAAAACCTAATTTCTAGCTTTCATACGTTCTGCGCAAGCAAAAGTGCGCGCGCGTAGTGGTAAATTATGAAAAATTTTGAAATGCTCCAAATGCCCTGAAACGTGCTCTAATTTAGTCAAAAAGTGATTTTGAGCATTTCGAAATTTTGACGCACGCGTGCGCACGCGTTATAAAGCGCACGCGTCTAATTATTGTACAGTACATTCAACATTAACCCGAAGTTAATGCTCACCTAATTCGATTTCGAATTGGCAATTGGTTAGGGTGATATGATCGATAATGTAGAAACGCAAAATTGCACGTAGATGACGTCACGCATGACTGAGCACGTTGAAAAGCTTACCATGACTATTCCAGACCAAGTACAATGTTCGTTGACAGCGATTGTGCGGTAACTCGTGGCATTTTTTGAGATATCGTGCGAACAGAAAAGGGGAGAAAGAAAGAAGAATAAGAAAAAAAAGATGATCCTGACAATAACAAGAGGTGATCCGCTAGTGTAGCGGATCACCAATAAGAAAAAAAAGAAGATGATGATGATGATCCTGACAATAACAAGAGGTGATCCGCTAGTGTAGCGGATCACCAAAAAGAAGATGATGATCCTGACAATAACAAGAGGTGATCCGCTAGTGTAGCGGATCACCAATAAGAAAAACTAGATTTGAACTCGTCACTGAGGACGAGTTAGGTGATCCGCCGCACTTTCACTTGCGAGGAAGTGCGCGCGGTGCTGATTGAACAATATTTAGATGCTGAAAATGGCTTAAGTATACACTAAATAATTTTTTTTAAAACAATTTGGAGTATTTTAAAAGATTTACTCAAGCGTACGCGCACTTAATGACAACGTGCGCATGTTAATGTCACAGAATGTTGTCTCCTGATATGAGATATATATGAATAACTTCCATTGACAAACGCCTGTTGGTGAGGGGGTAATTATCATTCATAATATTTATCATATATAATTTTTTTAAAATTCAAATGGCAATATGATGACGTCACAATGTTCATCAGCTATTATGATATAGAAAATCATATCTACTGCTCATGTGTTTTCAGAATATGTAATAAAAATTGGGGTCACCTTTCATCCTAAGGAACAATAACTGATTAAAAAAGGACATGATATAAAGCATATTTTAATTTTGACGCACGCGAACGCTCGCGTTATTACGCGTGCACAAAAATATAAGGTACATAACATTACATATTGATCATTCAAAGTTATTAGGAACTAAGGAACTTAAAACATTAAAGAATGTGTATGTCAAATGGAGTCCCATTAAATTAGGTATTAACTGTAGTAAGTAACATTAATTCTCTTCTAAATATGCATCAAAACAGACACATAGATTGTTTACAAAAAAAAAAAAAAAATGTACATTATATACTTCTTATTGGCCCTTCATGCAATTTGGTTAGTGCTCAACGACGCTTACTCTTGCTTCAAAGCCATGTAGACTGAAAGCGCTTCCGGCGTTCCATATCTAATCTAACACGTCATCTACGAATTCTTATTTTATTTTATACGCAGCGTGAATGTTGTTTGTAAAGGTTATAGTTTTAAGTGAAATAATTATTACTAAGCGTTTTCTAGCATTTTCAGAGGGTATTACGTGTGTTGTAAGTATCTCCATTATAAAACCACATTTTAGAACAACATGAATGTATAATGTGTATAATTAATAGGTGAAGGCATCCTTTTATTTCTACAAGAAACAGCTAGCGTAAGCGTAAACCGAAGGTTTTAGTTTCCACTCAATGAGTTTCCCTGGTTCTCTAACAGGTATTTTTGGGTCTTTCTCCTACACAGTATTATATCATGCCCGAACGTAATGATTGACGTTATAAACATTTTGAGAGAGAACAATATAAACTATTTAAGTTGAAGTATTTGCACTGACCTTTTTAGGGTTTGTTTCTGAAATACGTTTCACATGTGATGTGTATTATTTTGATACGCTAGGTCTGGGGTGGGGGTGGGGCGTAGCGTAGGATAGGCATTTAAAAACAAGTTGAAATTCAAAGTTTAAACTTATTCGTTAGATAGTTTTCCATAAGAACGGTTAAGTGTAAAGTCAAGATAGCCTATCTTCAGTGCCGTAGCAAATGTATTTTGCTAGGCCTTTAACTGTTATCGCTTAATCTAAGCCTTGCTTAAGCAGGATGGCTGACATACAGTAGGCATACTTTAGGCTGGGGCGAATTAGCTTAGACAAAAGCTGTGGATGGTTTGGTGCTGATTGGTCTAAAACATTGCAAGTATAATTAGTCTGTCAATTAATATATAACACTGAATGATGTTCATGTATTTTTTTGTCTTTCAGATTACACAATTGAATTTGTGAGGTGAGGTGTTTTGCTGAAAGTGGTCAGTAATCTGCTCTAAAATATAATATGATTGAAAAAAATGAAATATGAAACAAATCGAAGTCTTCAATTCTAATTAATAGATATACTGTAAGAGAATAATAGCATGCCAATACACAGTGTCTTTGTTGGTTAAATATTGCAAACTGCCAACGCATCAAATTCAGTGATCAATTTATATCAGTGAAATATGCAAGCAAAAGGATATGAAGTGAGAACACTGTAATATCAATTATGAAGGATTAGTTCCTCATATGAAAAGTGAAATGCTAGCCAAATTTAATGCTTACATTAGTGAGTAGTTGTGTCAATCATAGTTTTTGAAAAGTTTTCTTTCAATATTGTTAAACTGTGAGTAGGTTATCTTGTTGGCCTCATATTATAAGGTCTATGGGAGTTTCTTGGAGGTTGTCTCTTTATGTCATTATTAATTTTATTGCTATTGTACTTGTTTTTGTGGTTTCGATGAATAAATGAAATAAAGTAAAGATAGAGTTTTCGTGGAGTACAACAGTCACCAAATTTGTTGAAAATAACAGTGCTATCAATAGCATGAGTTTCACTTAAACATTCATAGTCTTGAATTTTTAGTAATTGTGTAATTTTCTTGATTGCAAGCCACATAATTGACTTCTTTTTTTTCTTTCTTCTCTAGGTATCTGGCTGTTGGAATTTTATGTCTTTCAAATTTTCATTTTCATTCAACTTGTTATACATTTCACCTTCATTTGTTTCACCATCATCTCTTTTGTCGATTTCATTTCAGTTCAGATAAAAGAAAAGAAAAAGAAAAGAAAAAGAAAAGAAAAGAAGAAGAAAAGGAAAATAAGTTGAATATACAAAGAAAAGAAAAGAAAGAAACAATTGAATTTAGAAAGGGAGAATCCCTTTGAAGAATATATTGAATTTACAAAGAGAGAATCTCTTTGAAGAATATAGCCGTAACACTTTCGAAAGAAAGAATTTTCAAAGAAATAATATATTGAATTTACAAAGAGAGAATCTCTTTGAAGAATATAGCCGTAACACTTTCGAAAGAAAGAATTTTTAAAGAAAGAATTTCATGAATATACAAAGAATTGAACATAACAGAGAATTGAATTTACAAAGAATATAAATTTACAAAGAAACAACATAAAGCAAATTGATACATAACGAATCACTACATACAGGACAACAAATTCTCATTTGCAAAAGCAAACTTCAAACAAAATCTGAAATCTCTATTGACAGGAAACTAAAGGAAGGACGAACAGAGAAGAAATTACTAACAGGGATTCTTTTGCAAAAGTAAGTACAGACCAGAAGCTTGAATCTCTGTATTGATTGAGTGTACAGTACGTTTATTCTTAAAAGAAATTAAGTGTGGTATAAACAGTGTGTAGTGTGTCGTCTTGAGATATAATCATTTTAATGCGTATCTTGTAAATTTTTACATTCCTGATTTTAAATTATACAGTATTTCAAAACTAATATTAATTGGCATTTTAAATTTCAAACAGGAATATATAGATATCAAACAGAAATCAGTATTTGAAAGAAATTTTAAAAGGGGAATTTGTGTGCCTATAAAATATATTTAAAATTTGTAAGCTTTTTGAAAATAGGAATTTTTCATAATGGATACAATTGAATTTAAGAAAGTAGTTGGTGAAATCATAGATATACTTTGTGCTTGCACATCAGCTATCACTTCTTCAGAGCACAATGAATGTTGTTTATGTAACAATGAGATCAGAGAGGATGAAAGTAATAAAACATGTGAGTCGTGTAGTAACCATTTCCATGTGGCATGTATGGGATTCCTTAATGAGGACAAACTAAGTAATACGAGACTAATCTGGATTTGTTCATCCTGTGGGAATAAGAACATCGCTCATCGCATGTTTGATACGTTAGACATCCCTTGTCATTTCAATATTTACAAGCTCCTTGAAAGAGAATTTGATACTGACCTGCTGCAATCAACAAAGAACAACAGAAGGAAATTTGGCAGAAGAAAGAAGAGGTATGTAAAAAAGAAGAAAACTAATTTAAAAAACAAATCCAGGAAATGTAGCAACAACAAAGATAGTACTAATTTTCCAGTTAAGAAAAATTGTTTGAAAACAAAGTTGCAACAAATAGAAAGTGAAGAATTGGATAATGAATGGGTAAAAGTAAAATCAAAGAAGAAACAACTGGAAACTGAAATAGCTTATTTAAAGTCAAAAAATGAGCATGGAGGAGATGAGAAGTTCACAAGAGAGACAGTAAATTGTGTAATTCTAGAACAATTGCCAACAAATGGAGTACATCAACTGTGTGGTGGTGGTGTCAATTCACAATGTTCAAGAAACAAGAAAGGTCGTTTTGTCAAAAGCAAGAAAAATCCTACCGAGAAAAAATCACAGCAAGATGAAGAGAAATCAAAAAGTGACAAAAGTGTTCAAATTGAAACTGCAAAGAGTAGTGAAAATTCCAGTGATCTGAAAATGGGCAGCAATAAATGTTCCAAAGTGAAAACTGATGAGGATTTTAAAATGGAATGTAGTGAGAAAGACAACAGTAAAAATGCAGGTGATATAAAAGTGTTCAACAGTAACAGTAACAGCAAAGTGAATGAAAGTAGCACAACAATAAATACTCCTACTGATGTGTCACATCCTGAACATAATGCATGTGCAAGCTGTGAATTCCAAAAAGATGATCTGAATGGTAAAACAGCAGTTTCTTTAATTGATGAACAAAATACATCAAGTGCAACAATGAGGCTTAATATTTCTACTAGTACACCTAAAAATGACTTGTATACTAATAATGCAGAAATAACTTCATCAAGTGCAAACAATATATGTAATGAGTGTTTTAAACCATCAGACAATTTTCAGTCTGACTTTATCAAAAGTTTAGAGAAAGATAATGAAAAAAGTTTTGTCAGTGCATGTACGAAGATCAAATGTATTGCACAAGGTAATTTTAATCAAGGTCATTATAGATTTGGCAGTGCAAGTGGTAAACAGTGTGTTGCAAATAGTCTTGTAGCTATCCTTTATTCAACAAATAGGTATGGAAATAAATTTTACACAAAGGATCTTGACACAATATTGAGTCTTGGAAATCAGTTGTATTACTACATTCAGAAAGATTCTACTATGCATGAAGACCTTTTGATGGTTTCTGAATTGCCCAAAGAATTGGATATTTTGAATGACAGATTTGAAATAATTTACAGTGAGCCAAAGTTTGGCATTATAGATGGAAATCCAGAATGTATGGTTGAATGTGGAGCTTTGTCATTAAACCAGGCTCTTGAACAACAGTTGCATCAACATCATGCATGTTAAATGAATTTTAATGAAAGTACATTTGCTATTATTAAGTGTCCAACAGGTTTTCTCATTTTTGACCCACATGGAAGAGATAAGTATGGCTGCGTCAGTGAGGATGGAAAGAGTATCCTACTTTACACGCCATCCTGGCAAGGTATATACAGTCACTGCATCAGATTAGCAAAATCAATGACTTGTCATCTAAATAAAACTCAGTTTGAGCTAACTGGTGTGAATGTTCAGAGTAAGGCTGATATGGTTTTGTGTGCAATTTCTTGTAACACATCAAACGATCATTCCAAAAATGAAAATGTGTCGGAGATAGATACCAGCAATTCTGATAATTTTGATCCATCTGCAGATGTAGATGTACCAAGTACTTCAAAGTGTCCATCATGCACAATATCACATGACAAGAAGATTGATTATGAATTTGAAGGAAATATTGAAGGTACATATATTATTGAACATGCTGAAGGTTCAGATAGTGATCAATCTGAAGACTGCATAGAAATTGTTGATATCGATTATGGTGAAAGACCTGACAAACACTTCAAATTTGTTCCTCTCTTTGAAAAAGAAAAAGTAAACATTTGTAGTAAATTAGGTATTAATTATCCTAATAGAAATTGCGGTGCTGCTTTACACAGAGACAGACACATTGGACATCCAGCAAAAATAAAACGTGTTACTGGTGATGGCAATTGTTTTTATCGTGCTATATCATATGTTATTTCTGGTACTGAAAATAATCATTTAATTCTGAGAAAAGCAATTGCTAATCATTTACTGGAAACCGATAATTTGTTTAGTAATACATTAAGTCATGAATTCAAAACAGTTCAAGAATATGTGTGGAAAAAAGGGGTAATGGATAATGGAACATGGGCTTCTAATACTGAAATAAGTGCCATGGCAAACTTGCTTGATACAGATATTTACTCATTCAATGATCAGATTTTGGCTTGGCAAATGTATTCTGGCAAAAATCCAGGAAGAATAAATAATGTCACAACTGAGAGAGGCATTTACATTCTATACACTCAGAATGTACATTTCGATGTAGTAGAATCTGTCGATGTCAATTTAAATTATGTTGAGGAAACAAAGACAATTTGTGTGGATACCTCATCAGAAACAAGTATGCCAAATGTAGATGATACCTATATGAAAGAACTGTCTACGAACCATGCCCAAAAACGGAAACTAACAAGAAAAGAAACAAATCATGAAATAAGTACTTCTAATCAATCACTTGAAGACATTACAGAACCAAACCAAAAAGAGTGTAAAACTATTACAGAACTTAATTCTATAAACGAAGTAAAAGTATTGAGACGAAAGAAGAAAACATCTCAATTAAATAGAAGACAAAAAGCAAAAATGCGAATGAGAATAAAACGTTCAATTGAAAATGCAAAGAAGGTAGAATATGAAAACTGGCAAAGAGTAGGAGATAATTGTTGTATTTCATCTAAATCAAGGAGAGCAGATGTAAAGAGAAAAAAATATCAAAGTGATCCTGTATACAGAGAAGAAAAGAAATGTAAAGTAAAAGAAGGACAAAAAATAAGATATATTAATGATGTTTATAAATGTCAAAAGAAAAGGGAAAACAGAGAAAGACAACAGAAAATGTATAGAAGTAAACCTGAATACAATCTTTGTGTACGAAATAAAATGAGAAAAAAATACAAAATTAATTTTGAATACCGAACAACCAAAAAAGCAAAAATTGTGCAAAACTACAAATTAAATGAGAAATTTAGGCATAATTTAAAGGAACAAATGAAAAATAGGTATCATGGTGATTCAAAATTCAGACAAATTTGTAAGCGAAAGTTGGCAGAGAAATATCATTGTGATCCAAAGTTCAGAGAAAACTGTAAGCAAAAATTGGCAGAAAAATATCACAGTGATTCAAAATTCAGACAAGATTGTAAGCGAAAATTTACAGAGAAGTATCACAGTGATTCAAAATTCAGACAAGATTGTAAGCGAAAATTTACAAAAAAGTATCACAGGGATTTAAAATTCAGCCAAGATCGTAGGCAAAGGTTTAGAAAGAAGTATGACGGCGATTCAAAATTCAGAAATGATTGTAAGCAAAGATTTACAGAGAAATATAATGGTGATTCTAAATTCAGAAAAGATTGTAAGCAAAGATTTACAGAGAAGTATCAAGGTGATTCAGTGTTCAGGAAAAACGTTGAAAAGAAAAACCTGAAGCGTCGGAAAATAAGAAAAGCAGAAAAGAGCAATTTTGAGTTTGTTTTGAAAGACTTTAGGAAAACAATTTCGTATGGTCCTGATTATGTTTGTTGTGTATGCTTTAAGTTGTTATTCAGAAATCAAGTATTGGAGTGCACCAAAGCTAAGTACGCAAATAAGACATGTATAAATGAAAAGTATTTGCATATTTGCAACAATGAATGTAATAAACATTGTGAACTTGCTGAATCACCAAGATGTTATTTATGGATTTGTTTCACATGTCACAGGAAACTGCTAAGTGGAAAAGTCCCTGCAGAAGCCAACACAAACAATTTACAACTACACGATATTCCTATTGAACTTAAATGTTTAAACAATTTGGAGCAGCATTTGATTGCACTAAATATTCCCTTTATGAAATTAATGAATTAACCCAAAGGTGGTCAGCATGGGATACATGGACCAGTTGTATGTGTACCATCTAATACGATTGAAACTGTAAATATGTTGCCTAGACCAGAGGCTGATGATCAATTGATATCTGTGAAATTGAAGCGAAAGTTGTCATACAAAGGTTATTATGAATATAAATTTGTCAAAACAGCAAATGTTATTCAAGCCCTTGAAT